AATTCTTTAAATATCATTTCCTTTAGTTCTCTGAACATACATTAACTGAGGTCTTTCTCTGCTTAATTCAGCATCTGGGAATACTCAGAAGCAGTTTCTGCCGCCTTTTCTTTTATTTATTTATTTTCTAAATAGGCAGTGCAGTGCCCAATGCAGAGCCCAAAGAGGGGCTCGAACTCACGACCCTGAGATCAACACCTGAGCTGAGATCAAGAGTCAGATACTTAACCGACTGAGTCACCTGCCCCTGCAGACTTTTTCTGAGTATGAGTCACACTGTCATATTTCTTTGTATAGCTTGTCATCTCTTGCTGAAAACCAGACATTTCAGATAATAAAATGTCAAAACTCTGCATTTTTTGCCCTTAAGTTTGCTGCTGTTACCTTGTTTGCCTGCTTTGTTTAGTAACATGATCAGGTTAGACCTGTGAGGTCTGCTTCCTCTGTTGTGTGCAGCCATCGATGTCTCTGCTCAGTTTCTTATTTAATATTCTTTCAAGACTAGCTGTCAGCCAGTTACTGGACATGGGTGCTCAAACATCTCTGATCAGTAAGGCTGATACCATCTGCTAATGGATCTGGGTGTAGGGAGAGAACAGTGTTCAAAGTTGTGGCCACTTCCAATCCCACCTGGGCTACTTCTGCAAGTCCAGTCTGTCTCCTACCTGCATGGACACAGTCTCAAGGTCACCCAGGGGAGTAAACAGCTTCAGCTCCGAGATCACCACGGAGCATGTGGTCTCAGACAAGAACACACTTGGCTGCAGTCCTGGGCTGGGAGAGACAGACCCTGGCCTATCTCCCCCTCCTGTCCCTGAAACATCACTTCTAGAGACAACAATGTTGGGCATGGGTGTCACCCACCCTTCCGTCACTGCAGGGCAAGCCCTCCGGTCCTTGCCACCCGCCCTGCCCCGGCAGAAACTCCGTAAGACACGGCTTGGGGCGTGTGGGAAGCAGCCCCGGGCCAAACACCATAGCTTCCCATTGTTCCTACCCAAAGTCTGGCAGTTGTTCAAGGCATAAATGAGCCTCAGACTGTTGTCAGCCTCTGGCTGATGTCCAGAACACTGAAGTGGTTGCTTTGTCAGTTTTGTCCAGTTTTAGAGTCACTTTCTTTTGAGAAGAGAATCCGGTGATCTCCTTGCTTGGTCACAGCCCAGAAGTGCCACTCTTCTGTTTACTTTTTAATCCTTTACAGAGGTTTTCTTACGATTTTTACTTTGAAATCTTTCAAAGCCCAAGAATTAGAGAGAATGTAATGAACATCTATGTACTCAACCCTCAGCTTAAGAAGTGACACATGACAGACATGTCCGAACCACCTCATTTACTTCTCCCTGATCCTAAATTCCCCTCCCCCACAAATCCCCTTTCCAGGAAGACCCATTATCCCAAAATTTGGTATTTGTTAATCTAATACATGGTTTTGTTATTTTATTCATATATATATATGCTTATATGGCAACTACTGTTTTGCATTTTTTAACTTCATTCAAATGCTATTCGTACATATTCTTCTACAACTTACTCTTTTATGCTCATTATGATGTGTTTGGGATTTGGTCATATAAACACATGTGGCTTTAATTCATTGACAGTTAACTGCTGAATAAATATGGCACAATCACTCCACTCTCCCGGGACGGACAGCTGGGGCTCCCAGTAATTTGCTGTTACAATGCCACCATGAATACTCCCGTGTGTTCCCATGCACACACAAGAGGAACAAGGGCCTGGAGGATGACAGAGGGGCCACAAATGCTTGTGTAAATAAATGAAATCTCCCCATTGGCTCCCATATGGCTGGAGGCAGAAAGTGGGAAATCTCCTAAGAAGGGCTAACAGTGGTTGTCCTCCACGACGGGGATTCAAGGCCTTCCACAGAACCTAGGTTTAGAGTCACAAGAGGCCTTCCTAGACAGGAGGCAACTAGTCCTATGTCACCAAGCAAGTCAGTGGAAAAATCAGGGACTGAAACCTAGGTTTCCTGTCTTCCTTGTTTCTCAAAGCAATAGCTGTGGACTAGAGGCATTAGCATCACCTGGGAATTTGTTAAAAATACAGAATCTCAGGCTGTACCCCAGATATGCTGAATTGGAATCTGCATTTTAACAAAATGCCCAGGTGATACTGTATGCACACTAAAGTCTGGAAAGTACTCTAGAGGATGTATACAGGCATGAAACTCCAGGATCACAATGTAGGAGCTCTTTAATGATATCACATAATGCCAGATTTCTCTCCAAAGTACTATACCAATTTTGATTCCCAGATTACTCGGATTTTTTATGTGTCTACTTACAACATAAAGCCATTGTTCTCATGTCTGCTTTGATTCCACTGCCTCACCAAGGTTCCACTTCCTAACACTATATCCCCAAATCTGGCCCTAAACTTCCTCCCTTGTGCTGTTACACACTAAGCTGTGACGAAAGCGTTATATGGTCAAATGAATTTGGGAAACCACAGGTTAATCTATGTAGAACAAGTTCTTAATCCTAAGGCTCTCAGAGAGCTCAGTATGTCTCTCAGGAGCCTCTGAAAGTGGACTACATTTCAAGCATTTTCCTAAACTTAGTTTACCACTTACCTTTTTTTGGCCATGGGTCATCTATGAACAGATCTGAATATATTGTTTTAAGGAACACAGATGGGGGGAAATCTGTGATAATTTATAGAGGCTTCCCTCCTTTTTAAAACAAAAATCATTAAAAAAAAAAAAAAGACATCAATTTCCTCTCTTATAATCCCCAGATCTTCTCATATCTAAAAGACTCATTCCAGCTACTTCTTTGCAGTTTTATGTATGTAAAATAACACCACCAGGAAAGAAAAATACATTTTGCTAAGATGAATTTCTCCCTCTCCAGATTTCTTCATGTTTCCAGTAAGAAGAAATCAGTACGGGAAGATCAGGTCCAAAATTTCAAATAGTTTCTCTTCGCTCTAAAACATCCGAGAACAAATTAGCACCTACTCTGAGACCTAGAGCAGAGAAGCCACTGTCTCTAATCCACTGTTCCCACACAGATGACCAGCTGAAATAGACTGTCCCTTAATCTCCTTATGGTCTCCCTGAAGAAATTAAAAGCTACAGGACTCCAGTGATCTCTGGATACTGAAGATCACTCATTCTATTACTATTGTTTGTTTTTCTACAGTGAGCACGTGTTACTTTTGCAACTAGAAAAAATATAGTTTTGTTCTAAAAGGCTTAATTTGAAAGGAAGAAAACAAGTCACCTAACAATAAAATTTAAATCCATCTCATTATTCTGTCAAAAGAGACACAAAAGGTGACCCTCAATTAGGGTGCAGAGGCCTTTGCAAGATTACTGTCTAAAACTGATTATGTCATTAACATTCTTTAAACATGTCATTAAACTTTAAAAGCTTTACGAACGCAGAACTTAACTTTATCTAGGTTTCAACTTTGAGAGATGAGAGACCACTGGCAAACCTGCTGGTCTGACTCCTGCTGTGCTCTCCTGGTCTAGAAGGGCACCATGCACGGCTGTGGTGAGGACGATGAAAACATGTATTAAAAAGCACCACATCAGGTCAGCGGGGAAACACAAAATAAAACAACTCATTCGAATGGCCACAATCCAGAACACGGACAGCAGCAAATGCTGGGGATGATGTGGAACAACAGGAACTCTCATTTATTGCTGGCGGACCCGCAAAATGGCACAGCCACTGGGGAGGATGGTTTGGCAGTTTATAAATGAAACGTGCTCTTACCATACAACTCAGCAATCATACACCCAAAGGATCTGAAAACTTACATCCACACAAAAACACGAATATTTATAGTAGCTTAATTCATAAATGCCCAAACTTGGAAGTTACCAAGATGTCCTTCAGTAGGTGAACAGATAAACTGTGGTATATCTAGAAAATGGAGTATTATTCATCACTCAAAAGAAATGTGCTATCAAGCCATGAAAAGACAAGGATGAAACCTAAATGTATATTACTAAGTGAACGAAGCCAGGCTGCAAAAGCTAGACAATCCAACTACAGGACATTCTGGAAAAGGCAAAACTATGGAAACAGTAAAAAAAACAAAAACAAAAAAACAGTGGTTGCGAAGGGGTGGAGAAATGGGAGGAATGGGTGAAGGGATGAACAGGCAGAGCACTGAGGATCTTTAGGGCAGTGAATATATTCTGTATGATACCGTCACGGTGGGTACGTATCTGTCCAAACCCACAGAATGTACAACAGCAGTAGTGACCCCCAAAGTAAACTATGGACCGTGGGTGATTATAAGAAGTCGCTGTAGGTTCACCAACTCTAACGAATGTAGCGCTCTGGAGGGGGATGCTGAGAGTGGGGGGGACTCTGCATGTGTGGGGCCATATGGGAAATCTCTGTACTTTCCACTCAACTTTGCTGGGAACATAAAACTGCTCTAAAGAATAAAGTCTATTAACCCCCACCCCCCAAAACCTCATAGTCCAGTGCCTGGCATTTATAGTAAGTGCTCAATAAATTGCAACTATTGTTATTAAAACAGTTTAAATTAGAGATATCCTCAAATGCTCCCACAAGAAATGAAGAAATACAGTTACTACTGAGTCCATTTCGACATTTATCCTGATAAGTTAAAAAGCATCCTCCTCGAAGAGGTCATCCTTGAGAGTCCATAACCTAGACGAATGATTCTCAATGGAACACGTTATTTTTCAAAGTTATTAAGTGGAATGTAGAAATGCAAAATGACTCAGGATTCGGTCACAGCCAGTTATTTAGTAAGTGCAAGTTTTACAGCCTCTTACCGTCATTATTTAAGAAACAAATTCAACTAAATGAAAAAGACATGCATCTCAAGAAACAAATGGTAATACCAAAAATGAATATAAAAAACGAATATAATCACAGAATTAGGTTGTGAATGATGTGGTTCAGTGGTGGTAGAATGCTTACCTACAAAGCACTAATTTCTAGAAGGAAAAACAAAATTTACAAGCCCCCCCCCCTTGTTTTGTTTACCTGGATGAGTCATGGTGACGGGCTCCTCTTTGGATTTATTATTGTAGATAACTACGGCAACTGCATTGTGGAAAGCAGCCCGTGATATTTTCTCTTTAAATGTGCAATTTCCCCGCTGCAGCAAGGCAATCCACTGTTTGATATTAGGAGGGACAAAGAACCGTGTTTGAGGATCACAGCCCAGATGATCAGCAACTAAACAGGAAAGAAAAAAACAACATTAATTTTTTCTCAAGATAAATAAAATCAGTCTTTATCAAAGTGCTCAACTGTTTCCTGAACACTCTGTGTATCCAAAGCACTTTGGGCAGCTCAGGGCCAGCAGAGCAATGAATACACCCAGGAACCTGAACCCGTATCTGTACCGGGAGAGAGAGGTTCCATTAACATGTTACCTGTGATGCAAATGAAAACCGTGAAAAATCCTGTTTAACTTCACAGATTGACAATGCGCAGTGCAGGCTGGTGAAGAGAGGAGGAAGAAAATGCAAACGCAGACGCCTCCATCCCCCAACACCCAGGTGACTGATCTACCCGACTTCTGCTGGTTGCACTTACTCTTCTCTCCACACCCCTACCCTACCCCCACACCCCCACCCCTTCTCACCCTACCCCCACCGCTGCCAAAAGAGACTGATTTTGCTTGAGGTAAACAAGGCAGCCAAACTAACTTTTGCTTCGGTTACCAAGTGGCTTGCTGACATTCAAGCATGTTTGAACAAATTTCTTAATAAGTGTCTAAAGGAAATTAGAAAGGTAAGTTTTGGCCTGGACTGGAAGTTCAGATAGTTAAAATAACATGAAACTAGAAACTAGAATAGATTATTCCTCTAATTTACATTTACTGGTAAAAACTACAATTCCCCGTTAAGATACACGTATTAACTTTACTATATCCACCTGTCTGACAAGATGAAGACCCCCCAAGGCACTCCCTGGGGACACTAATTACACGGACACTGTTGTGGATGTGGGGAATAGTTTGTTCCGGATACCCGTAAGTACACGGGAACCTGTAAGGCCAGGCTCCTCTGTCCGAGTCTGCAGACATCAAAGCGCTGTCCCCTTTCACAAGTCTAAAGAAGCACCCCCCCGTGGCTCTTCCCTCTCCCCACTGAGTCACTCTTCTAACAGGTGAAAGTGAACGGGCAGGGTGGTCCAGACCGGGAAGGAGTCACAGAGGTGAAGTCCGCAGAGCCAGAGGACAGCTGGCCCCAGGCTCTGCACTGGCTGGGGTGGGGGGAGGACAAAGGGGAACACTAAAAGCAAATAAATAATAAAAATACTAGATCAGTATTAATAATAGACTGTAGGAAAAGATGACACCAGTGGGGAAATACATGCTTTCCACACCCCAGAAGCACACCACTTAGCAGAAGAAACGAAACGTTCACGCTACTTAAACTGCACGGTGTAGCGATGCCAACTTCGGAGAAATGATACAGCTATCTTTCCCGCTTACATCATATTTTTCCCCCAAATTCTCTTACTATCGCGGTGAAGGATCATAATGAGAGCGTATTTGCTACCATAGGTCTCCTGACCCAACTGAGACATAAATAATTTCACAATGTCATGATTTATATTGTTGACAACTATCACCCTTTTCCTTAAACGATTTCTGCACTCCGAAACTTTAGTTCTTTCTCAAATGGGTGGGAAAAAAAAGCCTAAATCACAATTTTAGTAGCCAACTATTTTTTTTAAATATTTTATTTGTTTGAGAGAGAGAGCACACATGTACATGTGCACACAAGTGGGGGGAGGGGCAGGGGGAGAAGCAGACTCCCCAGTGAGCAGGGAGCCCGACACGGGGCTCGATCCCAGGACCCCAGGATCATGACCGAGCCGAAGGCAGACGCTTAACCGACCGAGCCACCCAGGCATCCCAGTAGTCAACCATTTATTGAAAGACACATTGAAGGCATTGTGAAACTCTTAAATCCTGAAACAGACTGTTTACTTGCAGTGCTGTTTCCCAGATAATTATGCTGTTTTAAAATAGAAGCATTTAGGCTAAGTGTTAAGATAACCTCAGTGTCTTGGAAAAATCTCCAATACCGTATACAGAGAGCAATCAAAGAGCTGGTCTTAAGTGTTTCATTTGTTATTTTTCATAACACACTGCTGCACAAACCCTGGAAGAAAACGCAGAATCAAGAATACCCAAAAGGACGTGTATACTTGTCTTCAGCAAAATAATCATTTTTCTGTGACTTATCCTGTGCTGCTTCCTATGATTTCACGCATATTCAGAGGGCAGTAAGGAGGAAGCAACACAACGGTCATGGAATCAGCAAGACGTGGGGCTCACATTCTAGATCAATTATTCACTAGCTGAACAACTGCCTGGGTTCCATGATCTCATCCTCAACTTTTACTTACTAAGACGAAGTTAAAATTCTTACCTCACAAGAGTTATATATGTGAAAAGGCTATAATAATTCCTCTACTCTTAAGTGCTTTAAAAGATTAATTCCCTTGGGGCACCTGGATGGCTCAGGTGGTTGACTCTTGATTTCAGTTCAGGTCATGATCTTAGGGTCGTGAGACCGAGCCCTGTGCTTAGTGGGGAGTCTGCTGGAGATTCTCTCTCCCTCTCCTTCTGCCCCTCCCCCGCTTATGCGCATGCTTTCAATAAATCCATCCATCCATCCATATGTACAATCTTAAAAAAATCAATTCCCTTTCCTTTAGTTTTATGGGTTTCATTTTATCGGGTCCCAGTGTTCCAGTTTGGTGCTGTGGGGGTTTTCTGCACCGATGTGTGTGAAATCCACCCACAGCTTGGAGCACATGTCCGCTCCACAACCCCAGCTCCTAACACCTCCTGTTCCCGTCTCGTTCCCTCTCCCCGTTGCGCTGACAGGGTCATCATCCTCTTAGAAGATAACAGTCATCATTTCCAAGACTGAAAAGACACGGGAAAGGATGCAACCACGGAACAAAATCTATCAAACATACTGAAGGAGAACTTTAAAATTCTCTTAAGGAATCCCCACCCACTAAGAACAGATTCTACCCACAACTGCAGGATCCAAACGAATTCCAACAGACTATATGAGCGGAAGAATGTCCTTGTTCCCAAATTTCACCCAAGTCATCATCCATAAAAGGTCTCTGCAAACATTTATGTCAGCAAGAATATGCAATAATAAGCGAGAATAAGATATTCAAGTTCCTGTTGAAGGAAGGAGTTTCCATTATTCAGAAAAAGAAAATAAGAGGTTTCCATAACCACTTGGTTGCATGTTTATTTTATCTATTCATTCTTTCCTGTAATTAAAAAATAACTTGAACAGTGAAAATGTGAACAGCTCTAAAACAACTTCCCAAGAGGACTGAAGACGAACCAGTTCAGTGGCCCTACTTCGCAATTTAATACCAGTTGTTTATACTTGAAGCAATTTATTAAGTGAAGACGCAGTATGGCATAAAATATCTATGCAATTAGGAACCATTAGAATCTATCAATAGTGGGCGCCTGGGTGGCTCAGTTGGTTAAGCAACTGCCTTCGGCTCAGGTCATGATCCTGAAGTCCCGGGATCGAGTCCCGCATCGGGCTCCCTGCTCGGCAGGGAGTCTGCTTCTCCCTCTGACCCTCTTCCCTCTCGTGCTCTCTATCTCTCATTCTCTCTCTCTCAAATAAATAAATAAAATCTTTAAAAAAAAAAAAGAATCTATCAATAGCAATTTTGCTCAAATTCAAAATCATTTTACTTCCTTTTTTTTCTTTTTTTAACCTGCCTAATCTAGAGGAGGACTTCATCTCTGACTTCTTTGCATTTATTAATTATGGTGTCAGGAAAAACTTTTAGGGAGTTATCAAGAAAACGTGAAATTACAGATGATATACAATACTGTATTACAATATCTTACAATTTTGTAAATTATACTTTGATAAACCTGAAAAAATGTTACATTACAGAGAGGCTGAACATCAGCTTTTTTTTCTGTACGGCCTTTCCTGTTGAATCCAGAAACAGTAATGAGAATTTTATTTATTCCTTGACAAGAACCAAACAATCACTGACAGGAACAATTATGGAATCCTCACCTCAACGAACACAGAAGCTCAGCAACAAACAAACACCTTGGTCTTGAATGTTAAGGAACCTCTAAATGTACTGTGAAGGCCATGCCTGACACAGAAATGAAATCTCAGCAACACTGGTTGGTAGCGTACCTTACCAACATGAAGGGTGCTTAGAAATCCAGGAAAAGAGCAACAGGATGGTAAAGGTTTCGTGGGGGCTGAAACCAAGACAGAACGCTGGAAAACCACTAGCCAGAGAGGAGGGGGTACAGAAGTGACCAGCATGAGAACAGAGAACAAAGACGAAGCCTTTCTCTCGAACTCTCACAAAAATCAAGATGACACATAACCCAAGTTACAATGCTATACCAATGTAAGATAATCAAGTTCTAAAAAGAAGAACCCATCTGCAATGGGAACACAGGAAGAATATTCTGGCACAAAGAGTATATAAATATTTAAAGGGTTCTGTGGGTGAAGAAGTCAGTCAATAAATAAAATCTCTCTTCCCCAAGCAGCCTGAAACTCCCACTTTGGATCACCTGACTTAGATAGAGCTCATCACATGAAAATGCAAACACCCCATCTAGCGTGTGGCGGTCACCACGTTACTGTGTGGGTCATGTCTCCTCCCACGCCCGAGAACCACCAATCTGCAGCCGTGGCACAGCCCAGCTCCCCCAGGGCGCCTCACGCTCTCAGAGCCTGGGCATCTTGGCTCCTCCGCCTGAAATGCCAAGCCCAACGCTTCCTTGCTGACCACCTCCTAAACCTCAGGATTCTGCTGAAGTACCTTCCCCGGAACACCCTCCCGGACTCCCGAGGCTGAGCTGGGTGCTTTGTGTTTCCATGGCAGCCCGAGATGACACACACTTTAGCTTTCATCCTACTGTACCAGCAACTGGATGTTTATTCTGAGTCTCTCCTCACGTGTGAGAATGTCCTCCAGTATGTGTGGCACAGAGGAGGTACTTGACCTCCCAGGTGAAGGGAGAAATGGGAGAATGACAGAGGGACACTGAGCAAGAACTGACAAAGAGTCTGTGCCAAAGACCACTGTTTTCCGTGGTAGTGTTCTGATGGGGGTGATGTTCTACCGGCGTGATGTCCCTACGAAGGAGGTAGGTTCCTTGCTTCCTAGTTCCACATTAGATTATA